AAAAATAAAGAAGAGAAAAAAATAGTTTACTTGATTACTTAATAAATTAATAAAATTCATGATTAAAGAATAATTACTTAAATAGGTCATGCATAATTCATATACATAGGACAGAACACGAATGTTTTCTTTAAAAACTTAAAGTAATATGAGTAACACATACAGGCAAATATAGGAGAGCAGGACGAGTGGGACGCCGAAAAACAAAACAAAAAGAATAAAAGAGGCCGGCGCCCCTATTTTTCCAACATAGAAAGGGCCGTCACTTAATTTGTTGTTTGGCTCATATTAGGTTTTTGACAACTTTGAGATCCCCGCTCTTATTGGAAACCCGGAGCCTACCCCTAGACTTATTCATAACAATCTAGCATTCTGTCTGTAAATTCACCGGCATCCCTCGAGGAGTGGGGCGGAGGGATGATAACCCCTTAAATGCAACCGACGATCAACGCCCTTGATGCTGAGATGTAAAACAGCACGCCTTCTCTGCCTATCTTCAAGGAGGGGGCGTAGCGTTGATCCAGTCATAGCGGATAGGGGGTGGGGTGGGGGAGGGGGGGGGGGGTGAATTATGCCTTTTAATGTGAGAAGTATGAAGAAGTATCAAGTGAATGAAAACCAAAGAACAAGGTCATTGAGTGAGGGTTGGTGTGAGAGGGTATTGCATGGTCTTCTCTTCACATGTCCTTCTTCTCTTCATTTCTCTCTCTCTCTTCTCTCTCCCTCTCTTCTCTCTCCCTCTCTCTCTCTCTTTCCCTCTCTTTCTTCAATTCGTTTTCGTTTTCACTATTCGAGAAGGGCTCCCAATGCCTCCTGTAGCTACGCCACTCTTCTCAGGTTCCCTAGGCTATACAGGAACCGATCGGATACTCAAGTGCCGGGAACCTAATCTTCAAAGACCGTGCACAGGAGCTCCACAAGTACATGAATACCACGTAAAAAAGACACTTTGTGCAGATTATGTGTCCCCTCTACGATTTCATTTTCCAATTCGAGCTGAGATATGGGCACGATTTTTTTTATTTGTTTCACTCAGATCAGTTAAGCTTGTAGTATCAATGCCATTTTTTGTACGGCGGTCATCATTATGTAACCCAAGTCAATGAACATGCTTTGGATATTCTTCATTACATCTCATATCCATCACATTGGGATAAAAAATAGCTTGTAATGGTCGTTTTAATCGTTTTCATATTCGTGACATGAATTTTCGGTTGAGGATAACCAATGAGAAAGATCTCCTGAAGAGAAGAAGAAGAAGAAGAAGAAGAAGAAGAAGAAGAAGAAGAAGAAGAAAGAAGAAGAAGAAAAAGAGAAGAAGAAGAAGAAGAAGAAGAAGAAGAAGAAGAAGAAGAAGAAGAAGAAGAAGAAGAGGAAATAAAATGTGAGTGAATTAAATTTCATCGCGCCCAAAGCTAGAAGTCCGAATTGCGATTTTTATCTTTACATCATGACAATGGTCATTAAACATTATAGGTACACACATAATAATAGAAGAACATATAAATGAAAAAAATATGTTTATCATGACAGTGGATTTGAGTAAAATTAGATTTTATATAACTTAAATTAATAACATAGGTGTTAGCACAACATTAATTTTGTGCACTTTCTTTTCACTTTTCATAATTTTACCTTGGGTTTAATAAAGTAACTGATATAGTAAAATGTAGTTATACGACCACAGAAAATTGTAAGCCATAACAAAATACAAAATTCAAAAGCGATCGATGTAATACTATTTTGTTATTAAATACATATTGTTATATAATTCAGGATTATAAAAAGAATAGATGAAAAAGAGAAAGAAGAAGAAAAAGAAGATGATGAAAAAAATGAAGAAGAACAGAAGAGGAAGAAGAAGAAGAAGAAGAAGAAGAAAAGAGAAGAAGAAGGAGAAGAAGAAGAAGAAGAAGAAGAAGAAGAAGAAGAAGAAAGAAGAAGAAGGAGAAGAAGAAGAAGAAGAAGAAGAAGAAGAAGAAGAAGAAGAGGAAGAAGAGGAGGAAGAAGAAGAAGAAGAAGAAGAAGAAGAAGAAGAAGAAGAAGAAGAAGAAGAAAAGAGAAGAAGAAGGAGAAGAAGAAGAAGAAGAAGAAGAAGAAGAAGAAGAAGAAGAAGAAGAAGAGGAGGAGGAAGAAGAAGAAGAAGAAGAAGAAGAAGAAGAAGAAGAAGAAGAAGAAGAAGAAGAAGAAGAAGAAGAGAAGAAGAAGAAGAAGAAGAAGAAGAGGAGGAGGAAGAAGAAGAAGAAGAAGAAGAAGAAGAAGAAGAAGAAGAAGAAGAAAAGAGAAGAACAAGAAGAAGAAGAACAAGAAGAAGAAGAGGAAATAAAATGTGAGTGAATTAAATTTCATCGCGCCCAAAGCTAGTCCGAATTGCGATTTTTATCTTTACATCATGACAATGGTCATTAAACATTATAGGTACACACATAATAATAGAAGAACATATAAATGAAAAAAATATGTTTAACATGACAGTGGATTTGAGTAAAATTAGATTTTATATAACTTAAATTAATAACATAGGTGTTAGCACAACATTAATTTTGTGCACTTTCTTTTCACTTTTCATAATTTTACCTTGGGTTTAATAAAGTAACTGATATAGTAAAATGTAGTTATACGACCACAGAAAATTGTAAGCCATAACAAAATGCAAAATTCAAAAGCGATCGATGTAATACTATTTTGTTATTTAATACATATTGTTATATAATTCAAGATTATAAAAAGAATAGATGAAAAAGAGAAAGAAGAAGAAAAAGAAGATGATGAAAAAAATGAAGAAGAACAGAAGAGGAAGAAGAAAAACAAAAAGTAGAAGAAGACGAAAAATGTACGCTTTTGTACTAAAAGACACGTGCAACAAATGTACACTACTGCACAGTTGTCTTTCAAACCCTAAGAAAAAACACTGAACCTGTTATTTATCAAATTTGAAAACTGATAATTTTTTGCAGAGAATACGAGTGTCGATGACTGTATCAGCCTTAATTTACCCGCAGCCGACGAAAGGTGAAATGAATTGAGGGCTATTTGTTGTTTGTAACACGATAATTTTGTTTTGTTCTTTAAATTCCCTCGTATTTCATTTGTTACTGAACATAATTCGTTACTTGGAACAAGCTGATTGATGTACAGGTTTATGTAGTGTTGGTATTGTCGTATCCTTTCGTTTGTAAGGATGTTGTTTCATTTTGCTATTTTGAAAACTGGAAAAATATTTTAAAGGAATAGCATATTACTTTTTTTTTCGAGAGCATAATTCTTATTTTATTAAATATCTAATCTTCCAGAGTACACTTGGTATTTATATACAATAGTTATAGGATGAATAACCTCAGAGGAAAAACATACATATAAACAAAGAAACACAAAAGGGAAGGAAGGAGCAGAGAGAGAGAGAGAGAGAGAGGGGGGGGGGGGTGGAGTAATCATGGGTTCCGAAATCAGCGTGTGTTTATTTTTTGTTTGGATAGTTACTAAGTATATGTATAAAACTTTACCACGATTCATGGATATACCTAATGAAGTAAACAGTTCATTTGAAATACGACAAATGCTCTCATCTTATAGACAATGAATTGACCTTACCAAGGAAATTAAGAATTATACAATAGGCACGCCATCATAGTGGGCCGAATTCACAACGGAGGTTTGTAGACAACCAATCAACCTTGGTCTGAAACGCATCGAAACGCGTCATATGACGCACATAAACCTAGGGTTCAGACATTGTCACCTCAATGGATACACCTATATCCTACACAGATATATATGCCTATCCGAGAGGATATTTAAGATTAAACACAATTGGGAAAGATTGCCCCTTTTTGGAAAAGCAATTTGTCAGTATTGCTGCTTGCCAATTAGCCCTGATTGATTTAATTGATTGATTGAATGATTGAATGATTGATCCATTGATGTTCATTGTAATATTCTCCTTATACATCATCAGAAAAAATACATCTTGAGCTAGCGTCTTCATCATAAGTTTAACCAAAAAAATCATACAATATATGAAGAGGTCGCTTCCAAAAGGTACTACATCCATAAATCTGAGTTCTGAGACAAACACAATGTTTTAATTATCATAGTTAGCGATGTCAGTTCGGAATGATACTTTGGCTGATAAAACTAGTATTATACTATTGTGATATACAGGTATTAAACCTCTCTTAAAATAAAATTAAGTCTGCACAATTTTTTTTCATGAATTTATGTTTTTTGTGTGGATGTAGTACCTTTTCGAACCGAACTGTTTTTAAATGCCATATTTTACTTTTTTTGAGGAAATTCAGATTTATGGAAGTGTCAGGGTATAGGTTACTGGAAAATAATGTGTACTTAAATGCATTACACAAAAGAACCAAGAAAAAAGAAATGGATGAAGTTCCTTTTGGGACCCAGCTATTCATTATATATAATATTTAATAAACAATGTATAATTGATAATTTGTAAAAGCAAAAAGACAACAACAAAACACGAAGTAAACAAATGAAAAAAGCAACACAAAATAGAATTAAATAAATAAACGAACAAAATGGTACGGATAATCTGGCAAATCCGGTTCGTAACATTTCCTAGTAACGCTAAACGTGTAGGGACGTCTATGTTTTCGTCGAAAGACTGATCAGGAACTACACACCAGTTTATTCTACCTGAACCATAACATTTCAGTCATATTTACTATGAGTTTCATGGAGAATAATAAGAATGGGAAAATTCCCTCAATGTTCCACATTACTGTGCAGGCAGCACGTTAGCAAAGTCAACATGGCGCTTAATACAGCCCTCTATTCATGTGGGTGCTTAAGTCAACAACCTCATGGAGCACCAGGGCACTTCAACTCGAGAGGACCCGGCTCATCCCTCGACCCACTGGATGATTCCCGCTGGCTCCCCGGGCGCTCAGTCGAGTAGAGTTCGTTTGCTTTCCCGCCATTTTCATAAATAAGTCGCGGGAGAAAGAGAGAAATCCCCATGGCTCTGTTGACCGCTT